TATTATTATTATTATTATTATTATTATTATTACATCCTTCAGTCAAGACATTATACTCTTATTGATGAAGCCTACAATCATCATACTGGCTTTTTAAGCTGCTGCATCACACTACTGACTCATGTTCAACTTGCTGTCTACTAAGACTCCTAGATCCTTTTCACATGTACTGCCTTCAAGCTAGGTGTTCCCCCATCCTATATCTATGCATTTCATTTTTACTGCCTAAGTGCAGTATCCTACATTTCTCCCTGTTAAAATTCATTTTGTTAGTTTTGGGCCAGCTTTCTAATCTATTCAGGTCATTTTGAATTTTGATCCTGTCCTCTGGGGTATTAGCTACTCCTCCTAATTTGGTGTCATCAGCAAATTTGATAAGCATGCCCTCTATTCCTTCATCCAAGTCATTGACAAAGATGTTGAATAGCACTTGGGCCCAGGGCAGAACCCTGTGGTAAACTGCTACTTACTTCTCTCCTGGATAAGAAGGTGCCACTGTTGTGTACCCTTTGGGTTCAGTTGGTCAACCAATTACAAATCCACCTACAGTCACATTGTCTGGCTCACATTTTACTACATTTTTTTGCAAGAATATCATGGAGGACCCTGTCAAAGGCCTTACTGAAATCAAGATATACTACATCTACAGCGTTCCCTTACCTACCAAGCTTGTAACTCTAAAGAAAAAGAACTCAGATTTGTTTTTAACTTGTTTTTAAAGACAATGTTGACTTTTATCATGACATTCCCTTCTAAGTATTTAAAGTCTATTTACTTAATGATCTGCTCTATTGTGTGGGAGGGAAACAATATACTGGAGGGGAGGAGTACATCAAGTGCTGGACATAATAGCCCAAATGTTATAGGAGGAACAAGGCAAATAGTACAAGAACCCAATACTTGGAGGAAAAATAATTTTAAAAGGCAGATGGAGGGACTAGTTTTAGATGTCTCAGTCTATACTAACGGACTTGGCTGGAAGAGGAGCTAGCAGCCAGCAGCTTTCCTATAAAGCAGCAGTCATGGGCTCTGGAGCTTAGCAAACAGTCCTGGAAAATGGGGTGTTTTGTGTGGGTGTGGAGGAAGAGACAGTAGAGGTGAGCTTTGGGATCTGTGGGGTTAAACTTCCCCAGTCCCAGAGAGTCTTTGGGGAGTTTGTTGACTCAAAAGTGAGGGTCAGTTGTGGGAAGGCTGGTTAGTTGGAGGAAATCTGGCACTTGGCAAACACCCTTGGGAAAAAAGAGTGTTTTGCATGGCTGTTTAGTAGGGGACTTTTTTGGGGGGAAAGCCAAGAATAATGTTTCAGTGCCTACTTAAGACTGCTGAACATGGACAGTGAGAGAGCTGCTGCAGTCACCTGCAACAGCCATGGCATGTCTGTCTTCTTGTCAATGGATGCAACTTCACCTGCACCAAATGCAAGTTGGTAGCCCTGCTGGAAGAGAAGGTTCAGCAGCTGGAGTAGCCCGAGTAGGTACACTTCAAGATATAAGGGAGCAAGAGGTTTTCTTAGACAAAGCAGAACAGACTGTCCTGGGGAACACACAGAGGAAGTTTCTGGGGAGGAGGTCAGTTCCCATACACAGCAGTTGGAGGAATGTGACACATAGAAGCAGGGAAGCCAGGAATCATTCTGTGAGCTTACAGCTGCAGAACCGATTTGATGAGATGACGAGGGAGAGCAGCAGGAACAGTCTTCAGGGAAAATGCAGGAGGGTGGTTTTGTTTGTTTGTTTGTTTTTTAGAATCAGCACAAGGAATAGCCCCTGCTAAGCCTAGGAGGAGGCGTGTAGTGGTTGTGGAGGACTCCTTGATGAGAGGTACAGAATCAGCGGTTTGCGGGACTGACAAGATGTCTCGGGAGGTGTGTTATCTCCCTGGGGCAAAAATCTGTGATGTGACAGTGAGTCTGACAAGACTTGTCAAACCTACTGATTGTTACCCCTTCTTTTTGGTCCATGTGGGAACCAATGATACTGCAAGGCACAGCCTTCAGAATATCATAAGGGATTATGAGGCTCTCAGTAGGAAGCTGAAAAATGCACAGGTTGTCATCTCACTTCTTCCAGTTGAAGGGCATGGTCCAGGAAAGGAGAAGAAAATAGCAGATGTG